GATCTAAAGGATCTGAAAGACAAGACCTAGAATCTAGAATAATTCAATCAACTCACTTTCGCCTCAACGCCGGCAAATCCAAGTGATGCATTCGAATATTTTGAAGGCCTGAAAAATGGAATTTTTTAGAAAATTCAAATTTCTCCCAATTCCCGCCCAATCTCTACCAGAACTGAGTCGTCGAATGTGTGACGCTGCTGAGTTGCTCTCATGATTTGATAAATCGAATCCTAGTAATCGATTTGGGTCTTTCATTAGAAATTTCCAAAAAAAAAAAATAAATCGACAAAATTGCACTGATAGTGGCAAAAAGTGGCTTTTTGAAGAATGAGTGCTTCAGTGCCTAGCGATGATTTTTCATATATCTGTCATGTCGTTTTGTTGATATCAGGTTACTGCAAAACCTCCTATTTTTTCTCGCAGGCAGTGATAAGCTGATGATATGGAAAAGAGATGATATGAGGAGAATTTTTTAGGAATTCGAAGTTCACACTTTTCAAAATTTTGGCGTTTTTCGATCCCTGAATTTTAGAATCCTAGAATTCACATTCTACATTTTTAGAATTCACATTCTACAGTATTTACCATGCGGTCGATATTTACGAAACGATTGGCCAACAATAATATGTGGCATGAGCAATGCCATGCCCGTCTGCTTCGGTGGCATCGTCCGATGTGAAGCACTGGATTCGACCGATGGTGGTCGCCGAAGCTTTGATCGGATCCGATCCTCGGCCATTTTGAGGTTTCAGGATTCTAGTTGTCTTCTTCTATAGTCAATAAGTTCGTCTTCAGATTACGAAGACGCATGACGAAGAATTGGATCAGGATCAGTAGTTGTTGGTAGTGGATGATATAGTTTTTTTTCGAGGATTGTTTTGCTCTCTTTTCTCTCGCCCCTCGTTTCTGCTCCTTGCGTGTGACAAAATATCTGTCTGATTGGATTGGAATGAGTGCCGGCCGCAATGGATGATAGTGGTAGAAGGAAAAAGGATAGAAAAAGAAGAAAAGGGAGGAATGTGTGTAATAATAGAAGCTGGTGTTCTTAGACATCGGCTGGGGGAAGAGCTGATTGTGAGAGCGTGTTACTGTGAGTGAATGGATATGATTGGATCGGTGACAATTGGTTAAGAGAAAA